GATGAAATGTGGTGGTCTGACCAACGCAAGGACTCCAACAGACGAGGAACGAGCAAAACTGGAGCCGTTGGTATGTTTTGTCCGTTCACCAATTCTCATCATGGCTTCCATAATAGCTCCTGGACAAGTTGGAATCTCATTTGGGCACCAAGCCCTCTTCCGCTGAAGTTGTTCAACTCTCCACACAAGTGGTGGCAGGGACTAACTATTTCGCTAAGGTTTTACTGATTTTTTAATGCGTAATTCATTTCTCTCATAGGTCAAAGTGGATCACGACAAGTACGTACACGTGCGTATACACGAAAAACTGCCGTGCCACGGAGGTCATCTGGAGTTGCATGCAGTCCAGCCCGACAAGGCTCATGCTGATCCGATCGCCTACTTTTGAAAATTAACCAGGATTATTCCACTTTTAATCATGCTCCGATTTGTTTCTGATTTGAATCTTTTTATACTCTCAATCTGTCCTTCAAATACACTTTTGTGACTTTCCATTCCATCAAGATGGCTTATTTCTGAGCAGATGGTTTGCCGCACAATTTCTGCTACTATGCCTCTACATGCAGCGAGTACTTACTGTTTTACTGGGTCATCGTTAGACTCCGTCCGGTCTGAAGCATCCGCCTTACGATCCAAAGGTAACCAGTTCGAATTTGCTTAGGTGCTTGGTGGTAGTACTTGTTTGACAGCTAAGCGTCAGTGCGGCACGTCATCGATGTACTGATGATGCCTGCTTGCAAATTCATTTGGAAGCCTGCCACCTGCAGTTAAATCTACTTTCCCAGCGACGACCATGCAGTGCACGTTCTTCACGAAATCGCTCATTCGTGCACAGAACAAGGGCACGCTGACCGCTTCAATGGTCCTCTAGCAATTCCGGTGCGCCTGTGGCGCAATTTATGTCGGTCGAACGGCTCGGCACTTGTCAAAGCGCACCAATAAACATCATCCACATTAGTTACGTCAAGGTGGCATTGGGACTATTAAGAGCTTCGTTTTGACTCACTTTGTCGACACTAGGTATCAAATAGAAGTGAACCGTGCCTTTCGGGTGATCTGCAGGGTCCTGCGGTTGCCATCGAGCTGCTTACGCTTCCGTATGCTCGCAATTGCCGAGGTAATCAGTATTCGGTTGCCTCAACCTCCGCAATGTTCTCAAATGAAACTAATCCAAACTCTGCAGCTGCCTTGGCTAGCGAAAGTAGAAAACGCTGAAGCCAGTTGCGCTGGATGGAAAATGAAATCGTCCTAGCTAACATTGCCAGTCGGTTCACGAACCTGGCGGGCACTTGATTTGATTCGGTTAAAGTAATCCGATCTATTCTACTCCAACTGCTATTTTCCTTGTGTGATTGTTCATTGTATATGTCTGGCCCCAAATTCCTGATAGTTAAATGGGAATTTTCAAGTGGTTGAAATTCATTTTCGTTTGTCGACACTAAAGCTTTCATCGAATGTTAGTCGTAACATTCCAATGCCTATTTACCGGAATTACTAACGAAGAAATGTGACTTGTGGCTTTGTATACTAGATACGCAACACAATCATCGCGAAGCGCTGGCATAGACACATTTGTCTGAATCGTGTCAAATGTTTACACCATTTTTTATTGAATTGTAGAATGCAAGGTGGTGTTAAGTTGTCTAAGAACTGAATAACATATACACGACACTAGATCAGTTGGCGGCGAACTGCTGTGATGTTTGAAAGGTTTTGACCACATTACGATGATACTGTGGACCGACATAGCACTGCTACCTGAGACAAACAACTTGCATTTACAACGTTACTCCTCTTTAGTGGATTGCCTCAACATCCGTTTTTTCCTACTGTATCTAGAGAGACATTGTGCTCCGTTGTGTTCTGTTCACAATGAAGCTGTCTCTGACATCTCTGATGCAGCTCTGTAGCAGTTAAAAATCCCCTGAATGTGTGATACGCCTTCCCATGAATGATGTCGCCCGCTTATCTTCCGTTCTTCCTTCGCGTCTTTTGTATCTGAACACCAACAAGTTTTCACATCAAGCATAAAAGTCGCGCTATCGGGACCACCGGGGATGTGTGGGTATTTTATTTTCTTTGTCGCTTTTGATGGCCGACTAGAGCACTGTCCAGCTGCTGGGCACATTGGTTCATTCGTACCTGAAAACTGCATCCCGTCGTATGTGATTCGAGGTTCTGCTTAATTCTACTGTTACAGTTTAAACCAAAGCGTAACCGGTTGCAAAAGCGAGCAACGCCGATAGTTTGGCTCACATCTGGTGGGAACACTGTGTGAGCGACGACCGTCTTCGACGACGTTTTTACCGCACAGGAAAAGAAATTGAACCGCTCAGCACCGTCATTTCTTGCACCAGGCTCCGATGGCTCGGCCACGTGCTACGCATGCCAGCCCACCGGCTCCAACAACGTGGGTTGTTTGCGCGCCGGGGGTATGGATGGAAGAAGAAGAAGAGGTGGCCAAATCATGACTTCGTCTAGTGGAATCAAGGCTCTCACTTCGAAAGTGGTCTCGGTTAGAGTACCACTGCCCCATGGTTGGGGTGCAAAAGACGATGAACGATGGCTAGATACACTTGCTGAAATGGCTAGGGGCGGACCTCAGTGGCGTTCGTGCTGTGAGTTCCTTTGTCCGTCCCCATCCCTTTTAGCCTCCCCTTACAACTACGATCACATTTCGTAACATAATTTTACGTAATATTTTTTGTTGCCTAGTAGCCAGCTGGTAGCTTTCCGGAACGATGCCCATCCTTTGCTGGGAGCTCAGCTGGCATGCAACTGTTGCAATTATTTTCTTTTATGTATTGCGGCACAATAGGTGGGGTTTTGCACCTCTAGCTAACGTGTATAATTATTCACCTGTTGATCGTTTTTCCGAGCTTGGTAAAGAGGTTGCATACGTTTCACCACCATGCGAGGTGGCGTCTTCAGTGCGGTAATAGGCGGTGTATAATGCTGTTTATTGAATTGTCAGTCCGTTATCCACGGGCAGGTGACTTTTGAAGGTGGCAATTTTGATTTGCATCACGTGATCTCAGCCCATTTGCTTCCACGGCTGAACGCCGTCTTGTGATTCGCCGGAGATCTTTCTTTCAGGGTTGATGGTACACGGGGTCGATATCGATGCGCATGTTGATCGAATTAGTAGAGGAGTACCATGCTTCTAGGAACTTTCGTCCTTTCTGTGTTGTTGTTTGAGCTAAAATCACTGTTTTGTTCCAATTGAAGCTATGTCCCTCCTTATCCACATGCGCTGAGACAAGAGACGATGCATAGTGTTTTTTACAAGCCCTCTGATGTTCTTGTATTCTTGTGGACAATTTCCTTCCTGTCTGCCCCACATAGTTCATTTCACAATTATTGCAATTTATTTTATACACGATGTTTGTTCGTTTTTGTGCATTCCTAATGTTTTTTGGGTTTGACAGTATTCTTCTCAAAGTAGCGGTTGGCTTATGAGCGACTACGATGCTGTGTTGTTTGAGCAATCTGGCAGTCATTTCAGATATGTTCTTCAAATACGGCAAAACGACCATCCTGCTTGCATTTGTTATCGGCTCTGTGTTCATAAGTTTGTGGTTCAGACATCTACGTATGAAGCTGCGTGGGTATCCATTGCGCTCGAACGAATCGAATAGGTGTTTCTCTTCTTCCCGTTTGGCTTCCACTGTACTGCAGTGTGTTTCAATCCTGCACGCAACTTATTTTGTGGCACTTTGGGTGGTTGCTATAGAAGTTCAAAATTTGATCCGTAGGTGTCCCTTTCCTGTGAGCAGATGTTTGAAATTCACCATCGTTTGTTCTGGTCACCAACACATCCAAGAATGAGAGCATGTTTTCTGCCTCTAACTCCATTGTAACCTGAATCCCATCCATTGCATTGTTGAGCGGTTGGTGTGCGACTACTACTTCACTGCGTTTCAGTATTACAAATGTATCATCGACATAGCGTACCCACAGCTTCGGGTTAATAGCTGGTATTAGATCTTCTAACTTTTGCATGACGATCTCAGCGATCAGACTTGATACTGGTGATCCCATCGGTGCCCCCTTCACTTGCTCGTAGATCTCTCCGTTGAACGAGAAGTAATTTGTGAGGCATAGTTGGAGAAGCTTGCAAATGCTTGCAGTCGTCATACTCCCAATTTTCTCATCTCTGTTGTTCAGACGTTCTATGATGGCTTCTTTTACCAGTTGCAAATTGACAGATGTAGCTAAAGCGGTGACGTCATGATCTATATGCAGGTTCTTGAGCTTCTCTAGAAATTGATTGGCGTTGTTTACGGAGTGCTGCGAACCGTTGAGTAGATGTTTGAGGCGCCTCCACAATTCCTTCGCCAGTTTGTAGGTGGGTGTACCTGGAAGTGAAACGATTGGCCACAACGGACCACCCTCTTTAGGTACGTTTGGGAGCCCGTAGGATTGGACGATGTTCGAGTCACAGGCTCTCATTTTGTTCCTTTCAATTTCTGTAATTTCTTTCAACTGTTGTAGTTCATGCAATGTTCTGTTAATTTGGTTTGTTAGCTGCGATGTCGGATCGTAATTAATGCGCCTGTATGTGTTTGTATCGTTCAGAAGTCGTTTTGCTTTCTCAATATATTCTGCCTTATCCATTATGACTGTCATACGTCCTTTGTCTGCAGGAAGGATTACAATTGACTCGTCGGATCTCAGGGCTTTCATTGCTTCGTGCTCTTGTTGACATAGGGCTTTGTATTGTTTGACGTGTGTCATGGCAGGGACGATTGTGTATCGGATTTGTTCCCGTATCTCTTCTCCAAGTCCATTTGACCGTAGAGCGTTTTCGAATTCCGCTAAAAACTCCGTGCTTGCCGCATCTTTGATATTGTAGTTCAATCCTTTGGTGAGTATCTGTTGCTCTGTCTCACTGAGCGGTCGTTTAGAAAGGTTCCTGATCCAGCGACCGTTGTCATCTCCGTATTGGCAGATGGTCAGTTTTGACAGCTTTCCGTGTATAATTATGGTGTCTCAATTTTGGGTACGGTTCGATATGGGGAAAAATTTCTGCCCTTTATGGGGATAGGAGGGGTCATTTTGAAGTATTCGTTATGTGAATCGATTGCGACGCGCAATTTCAACATGCACTGCGATTCGTATTAAAGGGAACCTTGGTCCATTCGATCATTGAGACCGTAACTGAAGCAGGTACTGGCTTCCCTGAAATTAAGATTTGCTATCACTTCAGACACCTAGTTGGTTCTCCAATACCCATTTGCGAACCACGTTTATCATCTTGGATTGAGCAGTGTCCATATTTTGCGATCGATGCATTACTTAATGGTTCGCTTCAGGTCATAAAGCTATACAACATATTTCTCAACGTTTGTATTTGGACAGTGATTTCCCATCCGATACACTCACGCA